CCTTTGTGTGACCTCTGAGGAAATTGTATTGATAAGTAAGCAGCGCACCACACGCAATTCAACGTAAGTATTGGATTTTAAACAATTTATCTTTATTAAAACACACATTGATGTATATAAAGTCTTCAAAAACGTCCTCCATAAATATCAAAATCTATTCTGAGCATATTAAAGTAATCTATATGGTGATAGTGTATCTGAAAAAGCAAAGAATAGGCATCCCAGCACACCAAAGATAAAAGGCAAGTTGGAATTATTAATTATTAAGTAAATATCAACAATTAAGCAAATATCAATTATTAAGTAAATATGCAAATTATTAATTATTAAGTAAATATCAACAGGTCATTAAGGATATCACGCAAAATGGGGAGTCTGCTAATATAAATTGTTACTGTAACAAAATTGCACATTCTAATTAGTTTTTCATGTGGTTCAAGAGCAGATGATTTTACTTGGATGCAACAAAATACTTTCGGAAAGAAGGAAGAAGACGGGCAGTCCACAGAGCAGCCTTTATTGTAGCGGGTTGCAGCGCCGTTATTAGTAAGAGGCTGTGACGTGGTCGGACTCGTGGGCGGGGAGGAGGGAGGGGCGAGACAAGAGCGGGGCAAGACGGTGACGTGGATGAGACGGGACGAGGCGGGACGAGGGCGGGAAGACGCGGGAAGAGACGGGTGCGCAATGGGGTGACGAAGGGCGAGCAGGAGACGCTACCGAGTCGAATACGCGGGGGGAGTCGGAGAGTAGAAGGAGACGCAGGCGAGCCGGGATACATAGCGAGCTGGGCGAACGCGCGGTCAGGCACACGCGGGGCGAGGCAAGAGATGTGGAGTACGTCGGAGCGAGATGGGGAGACGCGAAGCGGGCCCGGTAGTTGCGTGGCGGGGCGGAGAGACGTGGGGCGAGCGGGGGAGCTAAGGAGGGACCAGCAGAGAAGCGAGGCGAGTGGAGTGGGTTAGGAGGCACCGACCAAGGCAGAGATGTGGGGCGGTCGGAGCGAGACGGGCAGACGAGGAGGCGTAGTTGGGGGCGGGGCGGACAGACGCGGGCGAGCGGGGAGGCGCACGTAAGAGGCAGAGAGGCGTGTGGCGAGCGGGGGAGCTAGAGAGGGAGGCGGAGAGACGCGGGCGCCGCCCAGAAGGCGGGAGCGGGCGCGGGGCGGGGCGGGACGCCGGGGAAGCGCGCGGCCGCGCCTTTGAAGGGCAGACGCCTGGCGACGTCGCGGTCAGCGCGCGGCACAGCGCGAGCGCGGCGCGGGCGCGGCGCGGGCGCGGGCGCGGGCGCGGCGCTGGGCCAATGGGCGCGGGCGGCCGCGCGAGCGCGTGCCGTTGCCAAGTACACACCGAAGGTCGGCCGCCACCGCCGCGAACGCTGCGGGCGACGCCAGGCAGACTCCGAAATTTACAATGCGCGCCGCCAACGCCCGGTGCGTTCCTTCCTTTTGTGCTCGGAGAACAAGTCAGAGGACGACGGGGATGTGGAAGGTAATTATAAAAAGCTACGACAGGAATTTCAAGAATGAAAAGAATCCAGAAGAGGTGGAGAAGGGAAAGGTGTTGGAAGAGGAATAGTAAGAACGGTTCATAAAATTAATGAGTCCATGACAATGAGACAAGAAATTTCTAGGTAGACAAAGTAGAGAAGAAGAGTATAAAGACATGGTCTGGAGGGATGGGGGGTCGATAACCAAGTAGAAGATATTATAAAAAATAAGATAAAAGTGATGTAATAAGTAAAAACAATGATATGATGAAGGAATTGCTACCCAGCAAGAAACACCACGCACAAAATTAGATAAAATGCCAAAAGCGGGCGATATACGATAAATGGAGGCGCGAGGAACTGGACCCAAGAGAGAAGACGAGGCCGAAGATCATAGAGACTAGCGCTCAGCGCGCGCAGCGGCCGGGAGCGGGTTCGCGAAAGCGCTTCAGCGCCTCCTGGCAAGTTCCAGATCTCGCGGCGGCGGCTGGAAGTGGGAGGGGCGGGGGCGAGGGCGGCGAGTGGCCTTGCAGCGTCACGGCGCGGCGCGTCGCGGCCGCTGGCGGCGTTCACGCGCGGGCCGCGGAGTGGTCGGTCACCGCTTTCGGAAGGGGGGCGCGAGCGCGGGTGGAGGAACGGCCTTCTGCGCGAGCCTCGCCCGTGGGCGCTGCTCTTATCTCGAACCGCCCTACCTCGCCCCGCCCCGCCTCCCCTCGCCCCGCCTCACCTCGAAAGCCTTCGGAGCAGTGGGTGATCCAAGGTGGGACCTCTCAACCCTCCCTCACTGCAAGAAATGTTAGAGAAAACAATATTTATTGTAAGAACAGTCGAAAGTACTAGCGAATTAGAATTACATGACTGGAACAGCAATATATTGCAGCCCATCCGGATGACTGAGATCGCTAAACAGTAGTATCGTAACGATCTCGCACCGAAGGGTCGCTGGCTCGAGTCCCGCCCTCGGGCGTGGCCATATTTCTCTTCGTCCTTCACCCCCTATCATCACCATACCACGTCATCCTCACAGTAACCGTAACGTTAAATGCAAAAAATGCACGGAAATAATACACCGAACAACCGACCTCAAAACTTACTTCCTATGACCTACATGGTAGTTGTCATTTATCTTGCCGACAAAGCATCACTATCAACACGCGAACCAAATGACTTCCAGATTTAGACGGTATAGAAATATATGTATGGCCGTAATCAAATACTCTCTTCTAAGCTGAATAAATAATGTTACAAAATCAATTAACACATTATTATCAATTTTTTGTGTGGAAGAAAAATATTATTATAGGGTCGAAATCTTACAGCTGGAAATATTGTTTCTATCAAGTATACGTATTTATGACTTGTAGAGTATATTCGTCATACAACACGACTGACGACTTGCAAAATTAACTCCAAATTATATTAAACAATCCCGTTTTTTGAATAGAATTGCGTCAATGAATGATGAATCTATTCTTTCAAGTACGTCTTCATAAGCACCTTGCCACATACCTCGCGAATACTTGGATTTGAGTTACCGCACACATGATTAGATAATACAGTTAAACAACCTGTCACACGGACAATGGCTCTAGAATTCATTTGGGAAGCTTTACGCTGTTACAGGATAAGTCTACCTGAGCAGAAGCAATAGCTTGAGAATTGTTATGCACAGAACACCTAATACGTAACAAAGTTGATGCCTACAGTTGCACGAAGCTCCTCTTGACTCACAAGTTCTACCCCCTTCAAGAGATACCAACGCACCGTTGGCACAGTGTCAAAAACACCGCTGCGGACAGAATTCAAAATGGAAACGCATTAAAAATGTCTTCATTTTAAAATACCCCTGCGTAATAGTGAGAGTACGAGGCACTGCCATAAATCTTCAGTCTCTTGGCCCGCTGTACACGCGTAAGAGCGGCTGCGACCGCCGCAAGGCTGCTCGTCCTTGACGTCCGACCAGAGGGTCGGCCGACCCAGACGAAACCGTTGGGGCCGCATGTGCGACACATCACGGTCGCGCACATGAACGCCACAAAAAGTCAGCCGGGGCATCGTAATCTGGCACAGTGTCTCAATCGTTTTTCAAGAGCCAAGCTTTCACAATATTTGCAGCAGCGTTGAATTTTGTTTAGCTGCTTTGGGTTCGCCACGACCATCGCTCAATTACGACTCCACTTCCTGTTCCCTTGTTTATATATATTTTGTCAATGCTGTGGCGAACACTTTTCGACCTTCACGCGTTGAGGTTGTATTCGACCGCATGGTGCAACAGCTACAGCTGTCTACCATGAAACATCCATATGACGACACTTTTCCAAGTCAGAACAATAATCCATTTCCATACACGTACGTAATAAAAATGTAAATTCTATAATTTCAGGTTGTGTAATGTAAAATGTATCTTTCTCCACAACACCGGCGTAAATATTAAATGAACGACTTAGATATTCAATTACGACAATCCAAGATATTCCAAGATATTCAATTACGAAAAGTTCTAGCAAATAAATCTTACCCAAAATTCGCCGAATTTAGGAACATCTCTATGCAGTATTTGATTTACTGCGAGTGTGCGTGTGCACGGATCCGTCACTCACAATTAGACTACTTCCCGTGCGCCAATTGAGACATATGAGATGTCATAGTGCCAATTAAACAACAATTAGTGTTGAAGTAGTATATCTTATTCGTTATCAGTGAAATCGCCATTATACAAAGAATAAACAAATATGATTACATTAAAACAAAGAACCATGACTCTTTGCCTACATCCGGTTAGGTCGAGCTGTGTGCGGTTGTGGAAGCGTGGCAGCACGGGACACGGCGAGGCGGAGCACGGGAGTGAGGCTCGGTTCTATGGGTTCCGACCGGGCAACCGCTACGACCCGCGGTGCGGTCGATCAATAACAATGTAACAGATACTCTTAAACCAGTACCTGCCGCCGGCGCCGCGAGCACGGACGTGGCCGGTGCGGTGGCGGAGCGAGGGGGGGGGGGGGTGGAGTGGGGCAAGTGTGGTGCGGGGGAGGGCAAGGGCACGGGAGTGCGGGACGGGGCGGCGCGGGGCAGGGCACGGGAGTGCGGGCGGCGCGGGCGCGGGGCGGGGCGGGGCGGGGGCGGGGCGGGAGGCGGGGCGGGGGGGGCGGGAGCGGGGCGGGGCGGAGCGGGGCGGGGAAGGGGCGGGGCGGGGCGGGGGGCGGGGCGGGGCGGGGCGGGGGAGCGACACCGGTGCAGCCGGCGCCTACCAAGAAGCCGGTGGCTCCTGCGGTTTATCCAGCGTCTTCTTTCGTACGCGATGGGAGGCCAAACGCTGGAGTCGCCGCGTCCAAGCGCTTCCCAGACGCACCAGCGAATCGCAGTTCCCACAACGAAATTCGCGTTGAGATTGCGCCACGAGGTAACTCGAAAGGAAACGCGATGTGTAGGTTTCCGAAGAAAATGAGAAGGGCCCAACGAAACATGGCAAATGTTTCGTAACGTCGCCAGTTGTTTTGCTGTTTTTCGTTCTTACAATGCGGAAAATTGAATACATTTCTTGGACGAAAAGAGACGAAAAAAAGCACGGTGTGAATTAATTGTTCCCGTGCGAACTTTAACATTTGTGAAAGGAATTCCCCCAGGAAAATTTCCTCCAGGAAAGGTTCCTATAACCAACATTGACGTGTCTGTTTCTTGGCAGGCGTAGCACTATACATAATGAAAATAGCTGTCGTTTTATTACATATTTTAATTACATTTCTAATACATTTCACGAAAGTTATAAAGTATTTGACAAAACGTGAATAAAGTCAATTTGGAAACTAATCGGTTAATAATAAAGGATCCCCAAAACATAGTTTGTTTCATGTTTAGAAGAATCTCTAGATTATGCACTCCCGAAACCAACAAAACTGAAAACTAAGTGACTCAAATTTCTGCGATTTGATTTGTTCCCTTTGTCCAAATGAGAAAATTGTACCAGAAATTCAACCTGAAATCTATCGATTTGTGACTGTGGTTTCACTGCGTGTTGAGGTAGTCGGTAACAAAGGCGAGATCCACGAAATCTTCCCTGCGGGCTAACCACAACGGACGTGCATTTCTTTGCGATGAAAGAACATTGTTCATCTTTTCACGTCTGCATCAAAAGAAACGAATGAAGATAATTTTTACTGTCCAACTTCGATATAAACAATACAAAAATCATTGTAATTCTATAGGAAAAACTGAGTTCCACTCCGAAGGCAATGAAACTTTTTTGAGACAATATACAATTGACAATGAAGTGTAAAGGAATTTTGCAATGTCAATTTGAATATTGTGCTACACAAGTAAAATTTACATTCTTGTACGGAGCACAAGATCAATTAAAATACTTAAAAAGAAAATTACCATTGGGATTTTTACAATTTAACACAAACTATTAAAAAACAATAGGCTTCTTGTTTATCGCGTAAAATGTATTCAAACGTTCACGTGCATGTGTAACGAATTGAAATGAAACACTCAAGAAATGAAACGCCATTCAGCGTTTTCACTGACAGGTTTGACAACATAATCTTAATTCCTCCACGGGTAGAATTTCAAATAATCGCGTTAAAATTCTACTAGGAACGACGGCGAAGAAATATATGCACATCCATTCGTTCCAGGGCGAGGCCTGGAGGTATATCTCAATTCGCTATCAGCCTAACGTTAGCGTACGTATCGAGCACGTGTGAGTCACCTCATGCATACACAGCAGCGAGGATCACGTCAGACAAGCGACTGAGACGATGAGGATTCGTATATTAAGTATTGACAGACAACCTGGCGTATTTCGCGTCTTTAATGTAACCCAATGAAAAATTGACTGGAGGGTGAAGTTTAAATAATTTAAAAATATAATTGAACACAATCACTAGGAATCAATCACATCCATCACCGGTATAACCAGCACATTTTCTTTTCAACTTTCTCTCACAGAGCAGGCTACACGATTGATCGGTTGGTCTTCAATCACAATTTTTGAGGGAGAAGTGAAACAAGCAGTAGACCTAAACACTCTCTTCAGCGTAAAAACAATAAAGCCACAAAAACGCGTTAGAATTCACCGCAGAGATCAAGGTACTGTAGAAACGTAACTCACGCCTCCGTTCCCACGTCCTTGCTTTGTGTACGTGACAACTGCAGACGAATCTGTGTCACCTCCTCCTCCTCCTAAATCTAGTTGTTCAAGCTGCCGCCGCCGAGAGCGCAACTGCGCTGGCATGGCGGTGGCGTCTGGTTGAGGCGTTAGCGGTTCCGGTAGCGGTTATGACAATAATAACGATCTGAATGGCATTCACATGGCGGCGAGCGAGGCCAGTAGGGCACGCGAGTGCAAGGGCGGAGTCAGGACATACACCTTTACATAACACGAAGATCTGCGAGTACTAGCGACCGCGATGTTAGTAAAGGCGGAGGTAACAGATGATTGTGGGGGTGCCTGGCGTTGGCAATGGAAGAGGCAAGAATCTCTTCTAGGCCAAAGCGTGACTGGGACTTTTGTGAGAGAAACGAACGTACTCTTATGATTTCGCCGAAGAAACGATTACGTATCTGCGGGTAAGTTTTTAGAACACGTCACTATTTCGAAAAAGTCTTTGATTCAGATTTTTTTAAATAAATAAAAAAAGACGATTTTTCTTGGCTGGTAGACATGTTATTTTGAAATTAAACATATAATACCTACTTGGTACGCAAGACGAATTTACAATCTGAAACGAAAATTAAACTCTGTATTCTATGAAAAACTCTGCAAGTTTTCTTCTTCTTCTTCTTCTTCTTCTTCTTCTTCTTCTTCTTCTTCTTTTACCGAATACCGCCCTACCAGTAGCACTTTAATCGGCTGATCTTCTCCAACCTCAGCCCAATTCCAGCCCTCTCTCTTCACCTCACCGATTTCACGTTTTAATCCTGCCTTTACACCTTCTTTTTTAAAATCCTTTTTGGCTGTACGCGAGCAACATCCACCCAAGTCGTACCGGCGTCGACCTTGCCTTGTAACATAACTCCACGCCCCGAGCGCCGCCCCTCCGGGGTCACTGCTCGCGCGGCGTGCCCCGCGCCGCCACGCCCCTCCGTCGCTCTGTATTTGGCGTCGGCGCCAATTCGCCAGTCACTCGCCGGCCGAGCGTTTTTCTCGCGGTGGCCGGGGCGCGCGCCCGGGATTCGCAACCGCCGCCACTCGCGCCTCGTCCATGAAAGGCGCTGCACCGGCGCGCGCGCCGCCTGGGACGCCGTGGAGGGGTGCCGTGGACGGGCGCGCTGCCAGGGAACGGGGCGGGGAAGAAGGAGCGGAGCTGCCGCGCGGACGTGGACAGGCCGACGCTGCGGCCTCTGCGTGCGCCTTTGGGGTCTCAATTCTTACAACTCGTTTCTTTCAACTGCAGGTGAAGTTAATAACTTTCAAGTGCACTCGTCAGGCCGAATGCTTAATTTTCGTCCAACAACTCAAAATCGTTTATTAGATTCTCATTAATTCAGAACTTAACAGATTTATCCGGAATTCATCTGAAATATCGTTTCTTTTTTTTTTTTCTCTCTTTTTTTTCTTTTGGCCACACCTATTAAACAGCAAATCTGACGCGATTAACTCGGCGTTTATTTTGTGTGTCTAATTTAATATATCACGATTTGGAGCTTCGAAATGAGAAAATATTCTAATACTCTCAAAGACGTCATAATTTGAATCACAACAAAGAGCAAATACAGAAGTTGATTAGAAGGTATTATTTAATATATTTCACTCCATCTCAGATCATCATAGCATTCCTACAATCGTTTTACTAAGCTAAATACACTTCGGGGATGAAATGAAAATGTTATTCTAATTTCATTCCTTCTTAATAATTAATTCAAAAAATTCCATAATGTAAAGCCCCTACAATATATTATTTTCTTCAATTTTAATTAAGAATTTCAGAAATTAAATTACGTAATTGTAAAGAATGCAAAGAATATAAAGGCTGTGAGAAGAGTTTATTAAATGATCAGGGAAGCTGTGAAATTGAGCTGTGCGTAAGGTGTCAAGGCAGCGTTTCACAAAGGATGATGTTGCAAATGAATTTGGAGTCTTGATAAATGAAACGAAAACAAATGCTGAAATTTGATCTCACACAACTTCTTTGGTTAAGAAAACCATTGGAATTTCTCATCTCAATGGATGCCATAATTATTCATTTTACGTATTCACAAATAAAAAGCTGCAAACGGAAAAAACAAGATTCAGAACATGAAAGATCCTTTAATACGCAAAATGGTTGCTGTCAGGCAAACATTCCAGTAAAATATCCTTTGCATTACGATAAATAACAGCAGCGTCAGGACAACGAACTCTACTAGTTTGCTACCGCCCCTCTTCGCCGAGATGTGTTGCGGCAAGCGTATTAAGAAACACGTCTTGTCCGAGAGAAGTGAATCACGCGCGACGCAAGAACCGTTTTCAATTCGCAGAAAGAAAATGCCGGACGTCACGACGACGGCGGCGGCGGCGAGAGAGCGAATTGCATCGGGACGCAATTCGTGACGTCACGCGCGTCCGTGGCTGCCTCGATGCCATGTAGGCCACGCGCTTCGCCCCTGTCGCCCAACCGCACGCGTTTCCGCCACCCACCCCACCCCGCTCCACTCCCGACCTCCCCTGGACGATGCGCGTATGCACGGGCCTGGAATGATGAAAATGAGGGCGTACTTTTAGGTAACCGTTTCAATGGATCCGATGAAAATAATTTGTCATAGTAATTTTTCCACTGCAACATTATATTGAAAATACCAGTCACAATGTTCAGAAATCCGTACATTGGTGAAGGGGATGACGTAGATTTATACAAATGCCATTCAGTAGTAAGGCAGTAGTTACAGTGGAAGGTATTCTGGCTGAAATTTCGGGCGGCCGAAGTCGGACGGACAAAACCAAACGTAATACAGGCTTGTCCGACTGACAATGGTTTCGGACACCATCGGAAGAAGTCTTTCGGGCTCACTACGACAATTTTCGTTTACCAGCACGCGTTTGAACGAAAGCGGAAAACGTCCAACGTCAGCCCACCGAATTTTCAGCCAAAATACGTTCCACTGTAACTGCTGCCTTACAACTGAATGTCACTTGTATAAATTTACATCATCCCCGTCACCAATGTACGGATTTCTGAACATTGTGACTGGTATTCCCAATATAATGTTGCAGTGCAAAAAATACTGTGCTACAATTTTTTTTCACTGGATCGACTAAACGCTGTATGCTCGTGGAAATATTGTAAAATGACTGAGGCAGGGAACCTTCGTCAGCTTCCCATTCCCCGAGGGCTAGTCGTCGGATGGAGCTGAGTCATTAATATTTATCTCAAAAACCTTTATACGAGTTTGATTCTTACTAAACGCCCAGTAATTACTAAATTTTGCTCTTTTAAAAGGTTTTAATATCATCCTCGTCTGTCTACAGGTAATTTTTTAAAACCCACTTTAATATAACTTACGTCAATTTGTGAAATTCACTTGTCCATCATTGTTTACCTTTTTTAACCGCTTGCTACCACCATTTCTTTTAGTTTAAAACAAGTAACTTCCGAAGTTACAAGGTTTCCGATTCTTCGTTGAACGTCGGTATTTCTGGCGTTTAGAGACATTACATAATCGCCACCACAATCGTGACAACTATGCATCATTACCGATTCCATTAGTAGCACATCTTCACTTTCACCATCACAAAGTTCTCCAACGCAACACTCACAGTATCATTATTTAAAAACATTCAAGCTTAAAAGAGAAGTTTTAAGATGTTCTTTCGTGAAAGGGGTCGTTCTCAACTGAATATCCTTCCACTGCGATCGCCCCCTCCCTGATGTTTCGTATTTTCCCCATCCGGAGAATATTGCCAATTCGCGCCATGTTCCCGGGCCGTCGTCTGGAGATCGTCGCCTGTTTCAGACGACCGCAACCGGCGCTGCTTCCCGACCAACCGCCGCGGGGGCGCCCCCAGCGGCGGCCGCCGCAACTCGTCACTACCGCAAGCGCGCGCCAGTCAACGTTCGTTTTACAGACTGACTTCATGGCGAATGTGTGCCGCCAGCCGTACACCGCGAGGCTACCTCTCGTTAGAACGGAGGTTCGCTATCTCGTGCGGTCCGAAGCAATCGTGCATTTTTTGGGCATTTTTCGTAGCCTAAAATAAACCTATTTAAAGAAACAGACGAATGTACGTGAATGTACCAAGGCGATAATAAAGTTATTGAATTGCAACTTAATAATTTTAATTTGTTGAATAAAATGTAAGTTATGCGACCCTCGTTTAATACGTATGCGACACAAATTAAAAACCTGCGCAATATTAAGAGAGATCTGATAATTTGGGCACTTGTCAATAATGCAACAGTCTACTTCACTGAGTGGTGTGTAGAGACCACTTCTGGTGATGCGCGCTATTTCAAGCGATGACAATAGAAAGTACTTCAGTGTTGCAAGCAATATCTGGATTCAATATCGCTACGCCCCTCTTCTGCCGGTCTTTTAGACATTCACATTTGCCTTTCCCTTCCAACGCCTTCTAGCTCTTTCGACTACGCTTCGAAGTCACCCCTCGAATTTGCACCTATTGCCCTTCCACGCCCAGTCTTCGTCGTCGCCATCTCCGAACTGGCAAACGCTTTCATTCCTGTCTTCGCGCTCGCTTGCAACGCGCTCTCCACAAAGAAACGCGACCGATGTTTTCAGGTGCGAGGCAACTGCCGGTGGCCTGGGCCGCCGCCGCCAGCGTGACGGCCGACGTTACGTCACGGCGATTCACTTTCTTGCGTTCCGCCTCGGCCGCTTTGTGGGCCAATGTTGGCGCGGTCGGCGCCGCGCGGCGCTTCGCTGCGCCTCGCGTCGCGACGCTCCGCCTGGCGCGCCTTGCCGTCGCGACGCTCGCCGTCCCCTCCCCACCCCTCTCCCCTTCCCTCGTCCTCCGCCCCAGCTTCCTCGCCTCGCCGCTGCATCTTTGTGCTGCGCTCATCGCCATGTACTCCGTAGTTGATGCTGCATCTCTGCTTCCCAGAAGGGATGCCACAACGCCAACAAAAAAAATCATCGGTGTTTCCAAATATCAAAATTAAAACATCCACTCAAAAGCATCAATATTATTGCGTTAATGTTTTTAAAACAGGATCAGTGTCACCTGAAGTTCACGTGGGGGGGGGGGGTTAAGAGGCATTGTTTAATCCTTTTCAATTGAGTTTTATCAGACAAAACAGTCAAAAAATGATCCAGATTCTCAAATAACAAAGCTTGGATTGTTTGATTCGATAATTCAAAAATAATATGAGCTTCTTCATTGACGAAAACGCGATTTTATTTATTTCTCACTCTTCATCACTTCGGTCTGAAGAATATTCAAATTATGTATCGTTTATCTTAAAATTATTATAGAATTTTTCTATGGAAGTATTCCCCCCCCAAGAATATCGACCTCGGAAAAACGTCTAACGCAAATCAATGAGGTTCAAAATATTGGTTTAAACATCGAAGTTAAGTACATCGATGTTTTGAAAGTATCGGTATCCATGTTGCATCCCTAGTTCAAAGTGTTTCGCCGAATCAATGCCGCTCTATCTCTTAGCCAGCCACGTTCCATTCCTACCGTCCTGCAAGCGAAGCATTTTTAAAATGTATGTCACGATTGTGCTACTCTTTCCGAACCACCTAAATAGTTTCATAACTTTCATACAAAAGGACTTTGGTGTGATATTTAGAAGTATTGCTAAAAAATAATACTATTTTTCACAACAAAGGATACAATTTTTATATTTCCAAAATCTGGTGGATTCCCTTCTCTCCAACTCTTCTTCTCTCGCCTGAAAACTCAATGACTTCTAGATTGCTGGTGGGAAAGTCATCACAGGAATTGCGTGTTCAAGTTTTGCTTTGCGCATCAGAAATTTAAGTGCGTGCCTTATCAGATTTATGGAGGAATTTACTGCGTAACTATTAAGTAGATGACAGAGGGTGAAAATGGTGAAATAAAAAAAAGGTACGGAGTATTTCTTGCTTCCGGGATTAAATTTTTAAATAGGCTACCAACTCCATTGCCTGTGATACTTTAAAATGAAATATAAAATAATTTACCTCCACTTCATTATAAATTAATCTAATTTTAATTGTATTTATATAATCACTTTATTGAGTTTATTGTTTATACGCAGCCAGGAGGGTAATATACGAATTACATTTATCACATTACGTTAAGAAGTACGGGGCGTATTTACGGTTTACCTTTAAGGAAAACTAATCCAATCTCTTCTTAATTATGAACCATTTCTGAAGTTATGTTATTCCATAATCACACAACAAAAATAACTGAACAAAAGAGAAGAGAGCGATTGGAACGACATCTATCAAACCCTAACTAGGAAGAAAGAAAGAAAGAAAAAGAGAAAACAATGTGCGGAGAAGAAACAGCAGAACGGCCTTCGTATGTGAGGACAGTGCCGCTCATGCATGAAGCCCATAAAAACAGAGGAAGGAACTCATACAACAGTTCGTTTAAGTCGAGTGTTTTGTTCGTAGTTAAGCAATGTGTTCAGCGACGAAGGACGGAAGTACGGAAGAATAAGCCCTTCCTGGATGAACTGCACCGAACTCACCAACGAAATCCACGCTAAAGAACGGTCCACATTAATCCGAAAGAGCAGAATAGCATAGGGAAATTCAGACAGAATGAACCGGCTGATTAATTAAGCAACGGTTTCAAAAGACTCGCAGGAACAATAGAACCCATTAAGGAGATGGAGGATTGTGAAAGATACAGGAGCGGAAATTAAAAAAGGAAGAAAAGATAATCAGACATGCAAAGCGATTGCAAACAGACCTAAGAATTGATGCTCCAACGAGGACATTGGAGAAAGCACAAGACACAATGAAATAGCCGAAGACAAAAGAACAACGAGGGAGGTGAGGGGACGCGGCCCACCTCTTATTTACGGTCAACGCCTCGCATGCCAGTCCTCCCGTCAGGACGTGCAATGACTCACACCTCCGAAAGGCGCGAAGTGGCGGGGCGGCGCACACGTGAATCTGTTTCCTTCCCCGTCTAACAACTCGTATAAACTGAAATTAAGTGGTCGCGGCAGGCTCGCATTTATTTAGCGAAAGGCCGAGGAAGTAGTCTCGGCTTTTTACGCCGCTTTTTGTGGACCTCCGCGCCTCGCGAGGAGTCACGCCCATATCCTCCCTCCCAGCTACAATTCTCCGAAACGCCTGCCCGGCCCAGCCCAGCCCAGTCGCTTTTTATGGCGCCGCGCTGCGCCGCGCCGCCGTCGCTCTGTGACGCATCCCCGCCCGCAAGGCCTCCTGACATGGGCCGGGCGGTGTAGCCGGTCGCAGCCCCTCCGTCAATCGGGGCGTGGCAGCGACACGGCCGGACCACACCGCGACGCCCAGGCGGGCGGACGCGAGATGGCGCTGCGCGGACGAAACGCACGTCCTGTCGAGTCCGTAGTCGAGGGAATTAATTGAGGTAACGCACACACACGCATAAAAAACAACTAAGTTGCTCCCTTTGGGGTCAATCGTAATTGTTTGGGCCGAAGCTTTAAGGGTCCGGTCAAATTGCTGATAAAAAAAATCGATCGTTCCTTGAAAAAGTGTCTGAACAAATATGAACATGTACTTAAATAATAGTAGTACAATTCAATCAGCCCAGTTAAAATTTTCCGGGATTTTTGAATATCTATCCAAAGCAAAATTCACAGGCGGAAAAGAGAAGCGAAACGACAACTTAAGTATACATTTGGATACGTTAAGTGGTATCGTGCAAATCAGCATTAGGGAATGACACAGTGGAACCAGAAACTGAAGCCTCTCTTTGGCCGTAGAAACGCCCCCCAGCAGTCAAATCCATGATTATCACAAATTATCTGCCATTCCTTGTCGTCGTAACGTACTCCACCCATACTAGCCACCACGGATTAGATAATGAGTACTTCATTCGTCTAAGCGCAAAGAATACTAGGAAGCTGTTCCTATTTCCGATCTTATGCACATGTTTTCGACAATGTAAATTAATGCAAATATTGTATTTACCCGCTAATTCGTGAATTAGCAAGATACGAAGATCAACCTAACAAGCAATAGCCAAATTATATTCAATAAGTAAGGATTTTATTATTTCAATTAAAACTGCAACATTTATCATCTCTCAGAAAATATCCATTGGTTGATCTCAATATACATGTCCTCATTATGTCTGTTTCAACTACCAATATATACGGACAGTAACGGCTAGAGAAATTATTCAGCAAGTTACAAGGTTGCTCAAAGGTCATTCACATGTATCTCGTCGTTCATTTGTTAACAGAGATCTGAAATATTATAATTTCATTGAATATTTTTGCCTCCTTAATGACAAACTACAATAAATATTCACTGAAATAACCACGTTTCCAGGAAGACGCACGTGACACCTTGTAATTACCCATTCGATGCATTTGTTCCAGGCCACACGCTCATTGCACGCCTGTTCTAAGAACCCGCTCCCGGGGCACAGCAGTGAACTTCCTCTGCCCGCGCTGGCCGCCCCGGTCGCATCAAAGGTCCCCGGAATAGCCGCGCCGCGGGCGGGCACGCCTCCGGCGGCCGCAGCCGCCTCCTTCCCCGGAAGCAGCCCTTTGCGCCACGCGACGCCCGCAGAGCGCGCCTCGGCACGGCCGCGCACGCAGGGGGCGGCGGCGGGCGGCTCGTCTCCAACGATCAAGAGAGGGCGAGAATCTTTAGGTCATTTTCACTACAGATGGCTTCTTTCTCATACAAGCGTTTCACAGATGTACAGGGGTCATGTCGCGATTGACGTATGGGGTAGTTAGCCCCGTATGTGGATGAAACCGTCAAAAACAAAAACTGTCACGTGCGATTAATTTTACATATCACATTACAATAACAATTTATTTATTGCATTACAATCTTAAGGAAAATATGCGTTGTAATATACCAGTAATAATAGCTTTACTAGAAATAAAATAAATGAATTATTATTTCATCTACGAACGATTGTGACATTTATTTCGAAAGGTTCTTTATGACTGCCATTCAATGATTTATCCATTGTACCGACATAACTGGACAGTATACTGCACGTATATAAACCTGAACTCACGTTAAGAATCACGTAACATGCTGGAGAACAAATTACGCCATGAGCTAATCCGTTTGGCCGTTCTATCATCTAGAGCAGAAACTATTTCGTCGCCAGCGATGCGTCGGCTGATACAACCAACTCCCTATTACTAGTCGTAGTATCAACTGCTTACATCGGCGCACGCCGCAGCGGCGACGCGCCGCTTACTCAGGCGCGGCAAAACGCCGTAAAAGGCTAGGGCGCGGCCGCGCAAACCTCAGACGCTCTCGCGGCTGCCGGCGCCGACGACAGCGCCCTCGTCGCTCAACGCCCTGCCAACGCCGGCGCCCGCGCCCACGCCCACGACGCGCCCGGCGTCACCTAGCCACCTCCGCGACCTCTGTCACGCAAGCCCCGTGCGCCCACTCAATCACCGGCGCTTAGCCTGCCTGGCTTGCCAAATGCAGATTCAATGTCTCTGTCACATCACCATAATGCATCATTACTCCAGCCCACTGGGGTACTGTCCTTTCAAAGGGAGAGGTAAGCGGCGGGTGAAGCAGAGAGAAGAAAAAGAACATCGCGTGTTGGGAAACAATTATCAAGTGGAATAGATAAACTTGGAAGAAGAAAATAATTGGGAGAGTATATCAGAGAGAAGGGAGGCTTCCCGAAAATAATGTATTTAACCAGCGGGTGGAACCCAAGGCAAATGAGGAGGAAATCGGATCCAACCGCGAACGCAAACAACTGAAAACGTCATAGCAGCTGATGTCAAACGCAGCCGATGATGCTATTGCCATTTCTTCAAAAAGTTCAAGAGAGGGTTCCAAAGATTTTTCAACACAAACAATACGAAGCCCAGAAAGGCGAATTGCCAGTGGGCACAGCGTCTCGTCGACCGTGAACTCCGTAGCCCAGCAGCCCCGTCCGTCGGCGCGCGGCCGCACGCCCGGCGAGGGCGTCGCCGGCGGCGAAACCCCCACGGGAGGCGACGGCCGCGCGCTCGCCGGCGGTTGTTTGGACAAGGTACGCTCGCGCGCGCGCGCGCTTACGTAACGCCGGGGCGGGGGGGATTGTCATGCACGCGTTGCGTCACGGACCGAGATACCGCGGGGGAGGGGGAGGGGAGGGGAGGGGCCTGTGACCGCGCCCAGACGGCTTCACCCGCGTTCGCCCCATCTGCGATCGCCCCAAGCGCGGCACCCGCATCACATGCGGCCGAACCGATCTGACGGCGTGATGAGCTAATTTGCCTCTTAGGGTGGAAGGACGGGTCACGATGGCTATTCATTAATTCAATCATTAATTGTGTTAATAGTTCCTTAAATGTTTTTATAGTCTGCGAACAAGTAAATAAATTTAAATATACCCCACGTAAAGAAGCTTTTCATAATCAGTCGCCTTCAAGCCAAATACTAAACATTTACTCACCAAAATCACGAATTAATATTTAATTCCTCACATCAATATTCAAATTATTTCCAGTGGGTTCGTAAATACCTATCTCTGTGACCTTTCTAACAAACATTTCTGTGCCACTTCGACCGCATTCACATTAATAGTCACTCACTTCATTTCTACCCAACTATGACACATTCTTAAGGCACTTAACGTTATAAATTAATATTGAAGAGTCAGGGCAGACCTAATTACCGAGCTCTCATCTGTTGTTGTCCAGGAAAAACCTCCAGAAGCAAGAATTACTTTGATAATACGATGAAGTCAGGGACTGAGTCAATGCTTATTATTCTCAGAGGTCTTGACAATGCTTTGTGAATTTTCAAGGGACCACAAACAGAGACATGGGGGGAAAATTCAGTGCACACCTACCATGCAATACCTACTCGAAAAAAAAATGAAATTGAGCATGGTAAATTGTAAACAAACAGATCTTATTGATACTGGTCACATAATGACCCATTACAGACGAAGACGAAATTCATGTGCTGGCGTTTAAACCATTTTTTCTTTAGATTTCAAGCACGTCACTACCTTGATATAAATGTATGTATGCATGCGAAAGAGTGTGTAATCGACCTGACAGAACAAAATAAACAACGTACAATTTCTTCTACTATTATTACAATTCTCCACAAAGGTAAATAAAACAATATCCCATACATTCGTTTCTTCGCAATCTAGAATCGTCTCGAGTAAATGAGCCATAAAACGATTTACAGTTTCTTCATCCGCATTCGCAACGCATTAGCTACCTCAACTCGAACTGACAGTCCCGATCTCCTCGCAGAGAAATACACCCATTTTTCCTTCAGTAAATAACAGCCTGCCAAAGAAATCACAATTCATTACTAACGTCTTGCGACACACACACACATCGCTGACACACTTCCGTTATGCGCTGTAGCGGGACGTGTCACACCGCACGAAGTACTTTCCCAGCAAAACGCTCGGACGGGCACTGCCAGGCGATCGCGATCAGCGGCGGGACGAGGCCCCGCGTCCAAAGAGAAGGCCTCCGCACGCGCCCGAGCGCGACCGGGGCGTCGGCGGAACGTCGGCGACGACGGGGAAGGTCCAGCCGCCGCGGAAACACGTAACTGCGAGACGGAGGAGAAAAAAAAAGAAACGAAAGAAGTTGATCTTGGCCGAGCCGTCACGGTAAGAAGATTCAGGGCTTCACGAAAGAGTAACGATGTCACATGAACCTGACAGCGCGGATCAAACTAGAACAGATTGCCTTTTGTGAAAGCATCGCGTCAATGATTGGGAAAGAGGCTGAGGAATAATGCTCAAACAGGAGTGGCAGACAAATCAGGACGAGTCTCCAATCGTAAAGCAATTAAATCAATATTTGAGATGTTGATGTGTGACAAAGCAAGAAGTTGGTTTTATTGGATTAGAGAATATTCCATCAAAATGAGATACTATTTACAAATTAACCAATGAAAATATGCTATGTGAGGAGAATCTAATTGCTATCAAAATTTCATTATAATGGCGAAATCAACGATGACTACGACGATGGCAACAGCAATTGTACGGGAATAACGACGGTGACAGAACGCATCGCGATGTTGACGATAAGGGACACGAATTTGGTGAGAGAAGCAGAAAAGGCAACGGCGGCGGCTTCAGCGACGCAAACCCCGACAGCAGACACGGCCAAAGAGATACGCCAGTGCGATCGGACACTCCCGCCTCTAGACCGCCTCGCGTTCCGCCTGGCTGCGGCAGAAGGGCTCCCGCGCTCCCTCCACCTCCACCTCCTCCGCCCAAGGCCGCGGGCGACCGGCGTGGCCGGGGAATGTTTGCAATCCGCCAACAGAAAGCCTTTACACAGCGCGCAGCCCGCAGCCTCGCTCCGCCGCGACCTTCTTGACAAAACAAAGCCGCGTTTCTGTTTGAACTCCGGACCGGGGGACAAAAAGCGCACGCCACACAGGAGCCTGAAAAAGAGGGATTTAGGAGGAGAGCGCTGGACCTTCGGGCGCTAATTCAATATGGAAAGCGCTGGACGAAGCGGCCGCGCCGCGCGCTAATCCGCGCCCGACCGCAGGCGGCAGCGCTCGAGCGACTCCGGGCGGCGACCGAACCGCACGCGCCGCCTCCGGGCAGCTCCGGAGCTGGGAGGTTTCGGGATTGTTGGTGCAGGAACCCCTTGCCTTCCTTTTCTCGAAACTCGCCGTCCAGAGGAAGGTTGGTAGTTCACACGCTTCGGAAAACCGCTTTTGCGCGTTCCCATCTCGAAATGCCCCCTGTTTGGGCGACCAACGTGAGACGATATTCACGCTCCACTACTGAAAATAATATGGCCGAAATTTGTTCGGAGGTTTCATGGTGTTTGTTGGTTTTTCTTACTCGAAATAACCCCAACACTAATGGGATGGTAGAGTTCTCAAGCTTGAAAATGCCCCTGTTTGAGAAAGATTAGAGATACATTTCAACGTCCAGAACTGGAGATGAAATGGCACATCCTCGGGATCAGGTATCACGCCTACAACAAATGTCTTAATTTTGCGAACGCGGTACAGTCGTATCGTTCTTCGTACCCCGTCGACCCTGGAACAAAACACGCTCGGGCTGTCGGAGGAACCCCGCAGAAAAAGCGCCTCTGTGACCACTTGGCGCGTGACGTGATCCCGCTGACCTCTCGAATGCGGGGGCAATGCGTCATCCACTCGCCCGCCGCCCCCGGGCCGCCAGTGTGTTGATAGAGGGAGCTCCCGGCCGTCTGCGTCGCGTGCTGAGCCCGGAGGCCGCGCACGCAACAATGGCTGCCTGCCGTCACCGCGGTCGCGCATGATGAGCAGCGGGGAGCGACACCTCGGGAGGCATACGCTGCAGGACGTCGCTACAATTTGGGTCTTTACGTAGTCATTTAATCCGTAAGAGGATTTTTGTTATTTCCTTCATATGCAAGAAAGAAATACATGTTACCGTCCCTACTTGTTGGGATTCATTCATCGTAAATTACGTACACGCATTGGTCCAACAAGGGCATTTTGGGTCTTTGCATAGACATTTAATCCGAAAGAGGATTTTTGTTATTTCCTTCATATGCAAGAAAGAAATAGATGTTACCGTCCCTACTTGTTGGGATTCATTCAACGTAAATTAGTACACGCATGGCCCAACAAGGACTTTTCTGTGCGCTGGGGAGCTACGGGTATAGGGTGCAGACGACTTCATGTTTTCTTGTGAATAATTTTCCATTTATGCTGAATTTATATTTTTCGTTAATTTGTAGTTACTAACAACATATACAGTAGAGATATTGAATGATTGAAATTTACTATAGAAAATCAGTATATTTGTGTATAAATGTGTGTCAGACTTGGGGGGGGGGGAGCTCATGGAGTTCCATCCCTTTGGATATACTTCATAATGTATTGAGAAGCACAAGGCTACATTATTTTTTCAAACCAGTTTTTAGTTCCGCATTACGGAAATATTTAGCAATCGCTCTTCCTCAGGTTATGAGCCAATAAAATTTTAGATTTCTGGTTAACATTGAGAATGGTATTGAACAGATGTGACTAATCCTATAACCAAAACACACAAGTTAGACTTATTTCTTCAATCGTGGATGCGCCCTTACATGCAAGATTGCAGAGAGAGAAAATAACTAGTCCCATTTTCATGGGTGGAATGGCACGCTATTAATAACCCTATATTTGACGGGCAAATAACGCCAGAACATTCACCAGATCGGAGCTACTGTAAGCGTGGGTGTCGGAAGAGCAAGCCAGTGCAGTAAACACTGACTATTAAGGGTTTGGAAGTCAGCTGCAGAAA